AAATTCATTGCTTATACACTCTTACGATTCATAATCGATTACCGTGTAGCAATACCGCACTCCTATTTTCATCCGGGTTCAATTCGAGTCCTATCTCAGTCTACCAATCGTTTAATTTCTTGTCTATTGTTGGCTGTTTTTCAAGAGAGAAACCAGAATAGGAACATTGGATTGGATATGCCCGAAAATCAAGTGAAAGCGGATCAGCATCGCTTGGTGATATATCCAGCAACTGTTTTGAATGTAGTCAATTGGAAAAATTTGGATTCGCTCGATGATGCTACAAGCAACCCAGGTAGACGTGTGCTCCAGGGCAGTGTGGCAGTTCTTCCTTTACCCTTCACTCATCCGGGCGTACATAACGGTCCACCTGTGCCCTTCGAATCTACGAAAAGACAAGGCGAAACTTCCTATAACTTGTCGCTCACTCCTTTCTTCATCTTGCCCTAATTTTCAATTGATTAATAATATTCTTACTACTCATATATTGCACATATTGCACATGGTCCTTCGTTTCCATATATGGACGAGCACCGCGACAGGAGGGAATCGAGCTACTAGAAAAGGCTAAGCTTCGTTTTTTCTATGTCTTTCTATTCTTTCCAACATGCTGACGACCTTCGATCAGTACTGATGAGCTCCGCGGTAGTAAACAGGTGAAAGTGCGTTCATGGAGAAAAATACTGATCACTGGACCAAGATACTACAGTGACGGTGGCCATCTACACTGTCCGGCTGCCGAAATTGAAGATATATCCCGAATAACACACAAACAATCAGCCCACTCCCTCCAGTTAATGCTTATTGGGCTCGCAAGCCGTTTAGGTGAAAACTTTGGAATCCGCAACACATCGAATGCACACCAGACGCACTTCGGCGCTCAGCTCACCACTTAGACGAAAAGCTTCCACGATCTACCCACATGTTGGTTGAAGACCAGTGGTAATGGAACTGATGGCATACTCTCAAATAATTTGAAAATGGTATTATACTACTGTGAGATGACATTTTCTATGTTTGAAGTGTTCAAGAACTTAACAACCTAAACCTACGCTCACTTACATAGTTTTTCCTTTCATCGTAGTACTTCAGCGACTTTTTTAAATCACCGATTCTACCTTTGATACTTTCGGCACTCGCCTCGAGTTCTTCGTTTAGATCAGCGATTTGTTTTTTGAAGCTGCATTCCAAATTTTCTGCTAGACCTTCCACAAACTCTTCTACCGCTAAAACCGTAAGATTGGTTAATGACTCATGCGTAGGCCGCTTATTCTCAACAAAATTTCGATATTATATAAATCTTCATGTTAATGGAACGTGCGTGACCCCTAGGATAGGCAAGCATCGTTCTTAATGTTATTACAGTTATTTAGTCAGCATTTAGTTAATTATTTAAATTAACTGTCTTCATTTCTTCTCATTGAAAATTTACGACTTTCGATATACGAAGACGCGGGGAGCGCCAATCTCGAGGATGGGTTGATTTAAGTAAAGTGCAAGTCAACTAATTATCTTACTTTTGAGAGTTTTTTTT